TTGTAGGGGAAGCTGTAGCCACGCCTACTTAGCGGCTGGCTACAGGTGTGCCTGACCAGGCTTGCAAGGGCGTGGTCAGGGTGATGTAGAGTGACTGCGTTTTCTCTTTCGGTTTCACTTTTGTACTTGCGGTACAGACCTCTACCATGCCAGCTGGCTAGGTTGCTCTGTAAGTAAGGCTTTTCCCTATTAAATACCCTTATATTTCTACCTGACTCCATATTGGTAATTTCCCACTATAAATTATGGATATTTTTCACTGTTAAGTTTTAATACTCTTTAGCCCAAAAGGGGAATTGTAGGGGACACTGTAACCACACCTGCTCTGAGTGAGAGGCACACACATGGGAGCCCCTTCTTGCTTTTCACCTTTGGCTTGCTCTGCTTACTCCGTTCCATGCCAGCTGGCTAGGTTGCTCTGTAAGTAAGGCATCTCCCGAATAAATACCCTACTATCTTTACCTGACTCTGTGTTGGTAATTCACCCAGTAGGGTACCATATTCAACAGTCTGCCCATCACCTGCAGCTGCTTTCATGCTTCGGTGAAAGCACTGATGACACAGCTTTGCCATTGCTGAGCAAGCACTAGAACCCCGGTTCAGTTCCCAGTACCAATTACAAATAAATAAATAAATAAATAAATAAATAAATAAATAAATAAATAAATAAATAAATCCTAGAGAGGGAGGCAGGAATGGAGACAGAGCAATAGAGGGGGTGGAGAGGAGAGAAAAGCAAGTTGAGGAACTGAGTAACTGAAACAGTCTGTCAGTCACAGAGACCCCAGAATTTTGCCATCTGGCCATTTACAGAGAAATGTGGCTGTGTCTGTAGGCTTTAATGAGGTTCATGGGCTTCCTCACAGAGACAGGAGCTCTACAGAAAACTGATTTACTAGCATTTCCTATTATTTCCTTTAGGAGAAGAGGAAGGTCTGTGACTTCATCCTCAATCCATTAGAGAACCACATGGTTCTACTGAAAATAATTGAAATATTGACAAAAGAAGTTGTAACATTTTCCTTACAACTTGGGATCCTGTGTTCAAATTTATAGTAGAAGCAGCACACTTTAAGAAAACCTTTTTTTTTTTTTTAACCAACTAAGAACCTAAGCAGTGGTGGAAAGGCTGTCTTTGATGTCCTTCCCCTATAATGAGATTGATGACTACCTTGGTTGCTATTCCTAGAGCCTTCATCCAGTAGCTGATCGAAGCAGAAACAGGTACCCACAGCTAAACACTGAGCGGTACTCCTGGAATCCAATTGTAGAGATGGAGGAGGATGATCAAAGGAGCCAAGATGGAACTGGAGAAACCCACAGAAACAGTTGACCTGACCTAGTGAGAGCATGGGGACCCCTTGTCATAAAGCTGGGGAAATAGCATTGGACCAAACCAAGCCCTCTGAATGTGTGTGCCAGCTAGGAGACCTTGCCAAGCTATAGGACCTCTAACACTGGAGCCAGTGTTTATCCCTAGAGCACAAATGGACTTTGGGAGCCCGTTTCCTATGGAGGGACAGACACTATTGCAGCCCAGATACATGAAAGAGAATGTGACAGACTTTGATGATCCCCTGTGGAAGGCTATCCTTGGGGAGTGGTTGGGGGGGTGGATTAGGGGAGTCCGTAGGAGTCATAGGAGGGAGAGCGAACTGGAATTGATATGTAAAATAAGATTATTTCTAAAATAAAAAAAAAGACAAAAAAGAGAAAACCTTTCTTAGAGACATATAGTATCAGTGAAGAGCAGATATGGCAGATAGATACCAGAGACCTGGGCATGAGCTGATGGCTGAAGTGGTTGTCAAGGAAATGGTTTGAAACATGAAGTAAGAGATGATGAACAATGCCAATGTCTTAGTTAGGGTTTCTATTGTTGTGAAGAGACGCCATGACCATGGCAACTCTTATAAAGGAAAATGTTTAACTGAGGTGGTGGCTTACAGTTTCAGAGGTTCAATCCATTATCATCATGGTGCAACATGGCAGCCTGCAGGCAGACATGGTCCTGGAGAGGTAGTTGAGAGTTCTACATCTTGAAAGCAACCAGGAAGTGAATTGAGACACTGGGTGGCATCTAGAGCATATATGAACCTCAAAGCCCGCCTCCACAGTAACACACTTTCTCCAACAAAACCACACCTCCTAATAGTACCAGTCCCTTTGGGAGCCATTTTCTTTTAAACTACCACAGCCAGCATGATGGAGATGGAATAAATGGCTGCAGAATTCTCACAGATGAGTCCCCACCTGGTCAGAGACAGAGAACACACTCTTGAAAACACCCTCAAGTATTATTGCTACACACACCTGACAGGAGATGCAGTTTCCAGAAGGAATAATCAACCCATCACCTTTGATCTCAGGATTTCCTAAATCACCTTAGCCACTCTTCAATCTATCCAGGAGCCCCAGTAATCTATTTAATCCTGGGAGATTGCATACTTAATACTACCAGGCAAGCTGATCATCATTGGAAACTACACTTTCACTAACATCTTCTCTTTTGTATAACAGGTCTAGTAAAACACAAAGAGTCACCTTGAAATCCCTGGAACTTTGAGTATCAGTTACCTTGGAATATCACTGTCTATAATAGACTAGAAGACTAGAACAAGATAAGGAACTTCAATTAAGATTTGGAAACTAAAATCCAATGCATAGTTCTCTAATCCTCTCCTATAGACTACCACAAAATCATTATTTATTTTTAATAATAACCTTCAAATTACCTCTGGAGTGTCTAGAGCATCATCACATTATCCTGAGGTAAAGTTACTTTAATAACTAATAAGTGCAGTGTTTTTTCCCACTACAAGATCAAGACATGTGACCTGCAGGATGAGAAACAGAGGCACCATGTTGTTCAGCCATATTCTCCAGATTGAACAAGTTGGAGCTAAATCAGGTCCTCCTTCTGATGTCACATTGCCTCCCAGAAGTCTGTAAAGACAAACTTCTAAAAACTGATGAAGCTATGAATTTATGAGTTCACCCCAGTTCGTGTGTTGAAAACCACCCTCACTGATATGCCTCTATTTAGAGATGTTGCCTAAAAGGAGGTAACTAAGGTTGGCTAAGGTCTTAAGGGTGGGGCCCTGACGTGATAGGATTAGTGTCCTTCTAAGAAATAGCATGAGACCTTACTCTTTCTCTCTTTCCACCACTCAAGTTTATAACAAGAAGGCCCAGAAGGAGAGCTTTTGTGGCTTGAATGAGAAATTTCCCCTATAGATTCCCATGTTTGAATGCCCAGCTTGCACCTCGTGGCCTTGTTTAGGAAGATCTGCTGGAGCATTTGGGGGGTGGAACCTTGCTGGAGGAAGTGGCTCACTGGAAGAGGACTTGGGGTTTTATAGGCAGGTCCCACGTTCTGTTTACTGTGCTTCCTGTCTGTTGATGCAGTGCGACTGGAGACCTCTCATCTTTCCCAATGCCCAGTGACCAGGGACTTTTCCACCATCCTCCATCCTTTCCCTGTCAAGAGTTGGAATAACCCAACCTGTTCGTCTGTGGTAGAAGGAAACAGACCCCGATGTCCCAAGCCCTCGGTGCCTGCCTGAACCTCATCTGAACTGTGTATTTACTCTACATTATTCCTATGATGAAGTTTAACTGATCACTCAGGAATAGCAGGAGATTAACAAACCAATGAAATAATAGAAAAACAACAACATAGGGTAATAAAATTGGTATGACTGTAGACTGTCTCTCAAAACATCTTGTTGTACCATGTTCATCGCTGCTCTTTCTCCAGACCATGGTTGACCATGGATAACTGAGCATGAAAAGGAGTCTGTTTTATAGCTATGTGACCAGAGGACCACGTCTAGGTGGAACACATTGTGATGGGCAGCCATATTCTGTGGCCCCAGTTGGCATACACCCCATTCCATTTGTCTCCGGAGAATTCCTTGGAAGACTTATCTTTTTTTTGAAATTAGAAACAAGCTTCTTTTACATGTCAATCTCAGTTCCCTCTCCCTCCCCTCTTCCCATTCCCCCCGCCCCCCCCAATCCCAATCCCTTTCTGCTCCCCAGGAAGGGTGAGCCTTCCATGGGGGATCTTCAAAGTCTGTCATGTCATTTGGAGCAGGGCCTAGACCCTCCCCAGTGTGGGGAAAATTATCTTTAAGAACTAGTGTAGCTTGGCATTTTAAAATTGACAACCCCATTGCCAACTATTGTCAAGATCCCTTTGTTTTAAAGTGAGATTGAAATCAAATTTCTCAAAGAAATTCACTGGGCTTGGGGTACCAAAGAGCCAAAGAGACCCTGAGTAGACAGTGCTATCTTTCCCTAATAGCTGTCTTTTCTCAGAGAAGGATGAAGCCAAACAAAATAAGTGACACAAAGTCTGGGTTTCATGTCACCACCACGGTTCAGAGCATTTGTGGTTCTCATCCAGCCAGCATCCCTTTCCTGCTTTCTTCTGGCTAACCAAGCCTTTGTTTCCACGAGCAACAAACATGCTAAAGGTGGTCTGTGTGCAGTTACCACTCTTCAACACCACTCGTTTGCCAATGAAAATAACTCATATTTGTGCTAATTGATGGTACACATTTTGTTGAGTTATTGACAGAACTCTGCTAACTTGTAGACTACCCTCTGGACTGTCAACTCCTGGTTAAGTTTATCTAAATCCCACCATCTCCCAGGGATTGGTTTCTGTGTAGGGGCTTCATATGCTATTCTACCATGTTTCCTGTGTGTATCAAACTGATGTATATGTGCAAAGATCATACTGTTGACATAGAATGGAATACCACCAACCCTTCACTGCACTGAAAACCCAATGAATTCAGTGGATTACGTAGAAACAGTTTCGTATGATCCGAGTCTCTGAACATACCACAAAAACAGGGTCATTGGCAGCTGAGTGTGGCAAAGCATTCGTCCCGTTCAGGAAGGAGTGAACCAAATTATGGAGGCTCATAACTTGAGAGTCCAGTGTGCCATCCGCTTTATCAAAACCTTCCAGAGCATTCCTGAGAGAAACCAGAGTGTCAGTGACTTCGGTACAGATTGGCAAAGGTCTCTGTGTTTTCTGGCCACCTTCTAATCTAACTTTGGATAAGGATAGGAGAGGCTCTGCTGCCAACTGGCTGAGCATTCTTGCACTTCAACCTTTTCCAATGATCTTCTAGAAGGGGGAGGAACTCAAACATAGCTGCCCTGCATCTCCTGGGTTACATTGATCCCTTCTGTGCACAGTATTTATCTTTATTCTTGTTTTCTACAATCCTTGAAAGCGAGGGACTGTGTTTCCTTCATATTTTTATTTTCAGGACCTTTTATCCTGCCCAACACATGGGCTCTGTTCAATAAGTGAATTTTGAATCAACATAGAATTGTATATTCATATTTTTCAGTGAAAGAGACTGTTGACTTAGGGGGAGGACACTTATCCTTCTAAATATACCCCAGTATTTCCTTTATTCTTCTCTTTCCTGTCTATATTTTCAGTAAATTATAAATGTCTATACCTTGACACAGTGATATTCAAAAGTAAGATTACCTTGAAAACACTGAAAAATTTTTCATGAGCTTTTCTTAGAGTTTCCCACCCAGTAAGGATAGGTGAGGTCCTAACAATGTATGTTCCTTACCAAATTCTAAAGATACCAGTGATTATGATCCAAAAATCACATTTTAGGAATCTCTCTCAGCTTGAATCTAGAGAGAATGCAGTCTAGCTTAATAGCATTTTTGTCATAAAGAATTCATGCTTCTTTTAAAAACATTCTTAAATGTTACCCTTGACTTACGTTTTTCTTAGTTTATTTGAGACAGGTTCTCATTATGTAGCCTTGGCTGGCCTGCAAGTCACTATGTAGACCAAGTTGGCCTCAAACTCATAGAGATCTGCCTGTCTCTGCCCCCTAAGTGCTGGGATTAAAAGTGTGTACCACCAAGGCCAGCTATTTGCCTACTTTTAATACTAATCTCAGAGCCGTGTCCACTTCTAGCATTGGCTCCAAAGCCCTGCAATATTCAGCAAAATTCCTGAAATTAAGTTTGGTCTACCCTGCCCCTATCCCCATATAAGCTATCCAATTTGTGTGGGGAGTGGTGAATTGCAAAGAAAGAGAACAAGTCCAGTTTGGAGAAGGCCACAGTTCCTTCCTGGGATGCCTCACGAGTCTTTGTTAGGACCTTCTTTGTATACATACTCCTAATTCTTTGGGGGTAAGATAAAACTGATAGTTGGTCTTTAAGTTCAAGTCTTGGGTTATGATGCTGTGTAACACTTTGAGGTAAATCTGAAAAACTCCCCTGGGAGTCAGACCCAGTACCAGGATCTGTGACTAATGAACTTCTAATGCCAACATTTAATAAAATAAAAGGAAAGAATAGTAAATAGTATGAACACTGTTAAAGTATGATAGTAATGAGCTGCCTTGGCAATTCCTATATGCATACAGAAATCAGCAATTAGGGTGGCATTTAGTAGCTAATGAAACTACACTATTGGTAAGAGGCTATTTCTCACCATCAACCTCTTCTTATTCTATGTTTTTAAGCCTTTCTGCAATATTTAGATTTGTAGATGTCTGCCAACACCCGGATTCCTCCTGGGCCCACACAACTACAAGCATGATTGGCTAATGCAGTGGTTTTCAACCTGTGGGTCTCGACCTTGTTGGCAAACCTCTGTCTCCAAACACATTTACATTTCAGTTCATAAAAGCGGCAAAATTACAGTTATGAAGTAGCAACAAAAATAATTTTATAGTTGGGGGCTCACCACAACACAAGAAACTGTATTAAAGAGTCACAGCATCAGGGAGTTGAGAACCACCAGTCTAAAGTGCTGCAGACGATGCTGGCGCCCACCTGAAGCTGAAGGTGGCGTTCTGGAGGAAAGGCGGGCTGTCAAACTCCTGGAGAGACAGGCAATCCTGGATGTTCTTTAAGGTTGGCAATGTCTCGCTATTTCTTCCTACTTGGTTTCTTCTTAACAAACCTTCATAGGTTCCATTACACAGTGTGACCCGGCGGTTGTAGTCATCCAAGCTGAGATGTATAGAATTAAACACAATATGCCTTAACTTTGTGGATGGTATCATGAACTTGTAGCGAAAGTCATGGTCATTAGTTACTTTACATGGTCAAAACCAGGTGTGAAAATATTACCCTTGAAACTAATCATGGATGGAGACATTTCAAGAATATGGGTGCCCAAACCATGAATGCAGGAGTAAAGGTGACAATGGTTACCATTCCATTCATAAGAATGTGGCGGAGTTTACAAGCAAGATGGCGGCCATTGTAATTGTAATTGAGCCATTTTGGGAGGAATATGTGTAGAGCTGGGAAAAACATTTATGCCAACTGGAGACAAACAGGAAGCCAGAAAAACAGACAAAATTATACAGATAAAATGCAGTACTAAGACACTTTTTAATATTTAAAGTGATGAAAATCTCAAGCACATCGATTTTAATGTCCTACATTGAATAAATACATGCACATACACGTGCCCACATACACACAAAGTTATCAGTATTAAACCCCATAATTTATATGATTAAAATAGTTGTAATAATTATTAAATAATTATTCATAATTTAAAAGTCATAAATGCATAATATATTTATAAATAAATTACGATGTGTAAATAATAACATTTTTCAGCTTAGAGACTCATTGATGTGAGTGTATGCACACATGTGTGTAGGAGTATGCAAACCTGGGCATTATGTTTCCTTGGCAAGGAGCCAGCAAGCACCATCAACCCTCTTACACTGTGCCTCCATGAGTCTGGGTTTACAGACTTGCCTGGGATGCCCAGTTTATTATGTGGGTGCCAGGACTGAAACTTCTGTTTTTGTGATTTTCATCAAGTACCCTTAAAAACTATGTCTCCTCTATAGGCCATGAAATGAAACTTTTTAAAGTGAAAAATAAAAACCGTATTGGGAACTGTGTGAACACAGCTGGCTATTAATAGTTAGGAGGCAAATGTGAGGCTGAGAGAGGGTCCAAGACGTAGGCTGCGGTAGCCTGAAGTCTCAGCATCAGAGGGTTAATGCGTGAACAGAGGTAGATTTTAAAGACATTACTGCAGGGCTTCAAAGAGTGTGGGAAAGTGGTTTGCGAGTGAGAATAGAGTGAGCACACACGCAAAGACGGAGGATGTCAAACACCGGCTAACAAAAGACCCTCAAGGCATCATTTCCGAAGTGTCTTCCTGGGAGACGGTCTGTGAAATGAGTTCCAGATTCAGACCTGTTTAGGTCCCCCAGATGAGTAATACCATGTTCATCTATGGAGGCTAGACTATGTCCCAAGTAGTTGTTTTAAAAACACATTTTGAATTTGTGTTCTCTAGACTTATGTGATCACAGAACCCTCTTTTTCATACCACTTCTGAGTAGACAAAGGCATGGTGGGAAATGGTATTTTGTGGGACTGAGTGAAACTGTGCAAAGGTATCTACAGCATCCTACTAGCTGAGGCCTGACCCAAGAGCTTCAGGGTGTGCAGAATCCAGAAGACAGTTTCCTGTGACCGGGCTGGACCCCTCAGAACAGCAAATGCCAGGAACAGTACTGGCCAGGGAGGTAGCCCTAGAGTAACTGAATTTCAGAGGATAGGTGTCAGGTAGTGCAAGTCAAAACATGGGAATCTGAGAGAGAAGAAATAAATGAAGGAAGGCAGAGGAGCCCCTCAGGGAATCTTTTTCTGAGACACAGTTGTTATCTCTTATCCACAATTTTACTTTTCACGGTTGGTTACCTGCAGTCAACTATTCCTACAATATTCCTACAGTGCCCTGAGAAACAAAAGTATTTTGAAAGAAAAAGAGAGACTATGTTTGCATAGATCTTACTTCAGAACACTATTATAATTGTACTATTTTATTATTAGTTATTATTGTTGATCTCTTACTGTGCCTAATTCATAAATTAAATTTGATCATAAGGAGGAAAAATTGGAATGCCAAGTACCCCGGGAACAGATCCCCAAAAGTCAGAAGGGTTACTGAACTGCACCTGGGAAGGACAACTTTGAAGAAAGAATTCTTCCAGGACTCTATTTGCTCATGTAGCTTTTAAGGATTAAGGGACAGTTCTGAGCCTCCACATCCAAAGGTCTGTGCTTCTGTCCTGCACAACTCCTCAGGGACCTGTGAGACAGACGCCAGCTCCCTCACCTAGAACCTACCTCTACCCACACCCTCCTTGCCTCCTCCCATCGAGCCAGAGTCTGTACCACCTTCTGTCTCAGAACCACAGCTCCACACACTGTGGACATGTCCTGACTCTCTTTTAGACACACACACACACACACACACACACACACACACACACACCCCACACACACACACACACACACACACACCCCACACACACACACACACACACACACACCCCACACACACACACACACACACACACACCCCACACACACACACACACACACACACACCCCACACACACACACACACACACACACACCCCACACACACACACACACACACACACACCCCACACACACACACACACACACACACACCCCACACACACACACACACACACACACACCCCACACACACACACACACACACACACACCCCACACACACACACACACACACACACACCCCACACACACACACACACACACACACACCCCACACACACACACACACACACACACACCCCACACACACACACACACACACACACACCCCACACACACACACACACACACACACACACACACACACACCTATCATAGAACTTCTCAGACTGCTTGGTAATTCGTTTACCACAAATTGATCTCTGTAAATGCAGACCGGCTGGATCTTATTCATCCTTGTGTTCCCAGCAGGGTTGCATCACCAAGAACGTGCTTGATGCTCACAGCAAGTGTTGGCTGAATGCCGGAACTGCTCCTGATTGTAAACTCACGCCCCAGGTCTCAAAATGATGCCTAGGCACACTCAACCCACTAATAAGATTTCTATGCATCTACTTTTTCATTTGAGAGCTTAGAATGTTTAAATTCCTACCTCCCATGGAAAAACTGCTTTCAGGAACACGTGAACATAATTCCATGTATGCAGAGAGAGAGACATACAAAGAAATACAGTGTCTATCACCCAGAACTAAGGGAAAACAGTCTCAAGAGCTCCATCGTGTTACCTGTCACACACAATCTCCCAGGTGGAGAACCTTGAACTCTGACTAATCAGGGTTGGGTCATCTTGTCTCGCTGCTCCCAGAAGCTCGTCTGTGCACACGTCACACTCAGTCTTCCCGGTTGCAAAGTTCCAGTAGGGCAAAGCAAAGGACTCATTGCCAATGAGTCTCTAAAAGCAAAGGTAGGTTCCATTACTTCATGTATGTGTCAGATGCTACACCAACATGTGTAAGGCAAAGACTGAGCGTGTTTCTTGGACAAATTTATACCAACGCTAGGAATACAAATCAGATGGGTTTTAAAAGTCATTATAAAATATACTCACATACGTCTATATAAGTATGGAAATCTCCATATGCATTTGTGCATATGTGTAAATAAACACAATGCAATTGTCCTGACTTAATAGAGAAAGAGATCCTGCCATTTGCAACAAAGTAGGTGAACCTAGAGGACATTATTGCTAAGTGAAATAAACCCAATTTAAAAGAAAAAATGCTACATAATCTCATGCAGGTGACAACTGAAAAGGAAAAAGGACCAAAGCATAGGAAGTTGGGAGGACTGGGAAGATGGGAAACTCCAGAGAGCTAACACACAACGGAGGGCAAAGCTCACAGCACCATCATCCCTGGGTGATGTGTCAAGAGAGCATACTTCAGATACTCGACGCTCACAGAAAGGAAGCAGTCTGAACGGCTGAGTGGAGTCATTTTCTTGACTAGCTGTCACTGAAGTAAGTATATTAAACAGCGTGTATTCCTTAAATGCAAACACATTTTAGATACTGAGCACATGCTATGGACCAACCTGGAGATCTCTTTCCAACCACAACAAATGGTATCTGTGCCAGGTGACAAACGCAGGCCCTTGGTGTGAGAAATCTATGGCCTTGTAAGGGCGTCCTGGACCTAGAACCATTGGGAAACATCGGTCACAGAACAGAATATTTGAGATGTTAAACCTTACCAGGGGTATGTCTGTGTCCAGAGAGTCCATGGTGTCTTAGTTTAAAAACAATTTGTCTATTAAAAAGCAACAGTTAGAATAATGATAAAAGAGCTTTCACAAAATAGTCTCTTTCATTTCTCAAAAGTTTGATTTTTAGCAGAACACACAGAAACCCAAGTCAATTTCAGGAGTCAGTGTCCTGTTACAGACTTTAATTCTCTTGACAATAACGCATTAAAATAAAATGCTGTCTAAAAACAACCATTGTTGAGACCTAAATGAAATGTATTTTAAAGGTATATTCTGACTTGTTCTTTGAAATTGCATAAACTTATAGCAGAGACATTACTTAATAATGTAGCAGCTTCAGCCACACTTTGTGCTAGTGTTGCCTTTATACAACCAGAAAGAACTTCCACGAGGTCTGCCTCACGCATCCATCAGTAAGAACCGCCAGCTGGCAAGCATGGTCACCGAGAGCAGAAGAGAAACCAATTTGGCTGGCCACTGGAACTGCCGGTCTTAGTGAGGCGCTTTGAGCAACGTATTGCCCTTCTTGGTGCCTGCTCCATCTTTCTTCTGCCCTTCGTAGCAGCTTTTGATGGCATGCAGGAGCTTCAGCTCTCTTTAGTTCTTTCAAAGTACCTGTAAAAACTCCAGAGAGCTGAACAGGCATGAATATAAGTTGAGGTCCTAGAGAGGACCAGACACTACAGTTCTCCTTTCCTCCTGAGAGGCTACCCTATCATAAAGCAGAAATTCCTCAGAGTGATGACAGGAAGTGATAAAGCCTTAGAGCCAGATGAGTCCCTCACCTATCCATAAAGGAAGATGGATGCTAACCTGCAAGGCAGGCTCTAACAACATGGAAAGCAGAGCTCCTGCTGCTGCTATTGGCCATGGAGCCTTTTTAAAAAATATTTTTGGCTAAATAAATTCAAGTTTTCTACACCAGAATTATGAGAGTGACCGACACCAAAGAACGGGAACCAGTGATAGGCCAAGTAAGAATTGCACCAGACCAAGTCCGCGCAATAATTTTGTCCACCCTGACCCCAGGGTGGGGACCCAGAGGTAGGGACAGCAGCAGAGATAGCCAAGTGTGTGGACTGTGAGGAGAAGTTATGAGAGGAATCTAGGATGGATTTGAACTCTCCAGCAAACCAATGGCTGCTCCCCAACCCATTGTGCATAACCATCAACCTCCTGCTCCACTCCCACCCAGTCCCCACGTTCTAGGTACTGGGCGGGGGGTCCTCAATATTTCACAAGCATCAGTTTTTGGTTATTGTTGTGTAGGCGGGAGACACGGGCACTACGGCCCGCGTGCAGGGGGCTCAAAGGACAACTTTGTGGAATTGGAGGAGCTGCCCAGCTTTTGGAATTGTGTTGTCAAGGAGAAGTTTCCCCCAAGCCATAGCAAAGTAGAGCTCTCTCGCTTAGCCTCGTGGGTAATTGTGCCTGTGTTGGATGCTTAAGAAAGCGGTGTAATGCAGCTAAGCACTGAGCTGAATTCTGGAATCCACTTGCAGAGAGGGAGGAGTGATGAGCAAGAGGTCAAGACCAGGCTGAAGAAACCCACAGAAACAGCTGACCTGAACAACAGGGAGCTCATGGACCCCAGACTGATAGCTGGGAAACCAGCATGGGACTGATCCAGACCCCCTGAACTAGGAGGAGGTCGGTTTGGAGGTCTGGACAATCTATGGGGCCACTGGTAGTGGATCAGTGTTTACCCCTAGTCCACAAATGAACTTTGGGAGTCCATTCCACATGGAGGGTTACTCTCTCAGCCTAGACACTCTGGGGAAGGTCTAGGCCCTGCTCCAAAGGATATGACAGACTTTAAGATCTCCCATGGAAGGCCTTACCCTACCCTCCCTGGGGAGCAGAAAGGGGTTGGCACAGGGGGCCAGTGGGGGCCAGGGGAGGAGAGGAACTGAGATTGACAGATAAAAGAAGCTTGTTTCTAATTTAAACTTTTAAAAAGTGGTATAATGAAAATGATGCTTGTAGCCAGCAAGAAGATAAAAGACATGGTTGTATAAGCCCGGACACCTGAGTTCCATTCCTGAAACACACATCCAAGTGGAAGGACAGAACTGTGGTCGGCAGGAGCCACCTGTCCTACTGGGAGGCACCCTCAAGTGAACTTGCAAGGGAGGGATGTCTAAAGATGTGTGCGTTTAAGGAACCTGGCATTTCCAATGCAGATGCCGCAGTTCTCCAGGAAATGCTGTGCCCCTGGCGTATGTTCAGTTAAATCTCTAATTTGAACAAAAGGCCAGAGCCAGCTTTCAAGCCAGAGTTGAATTTTTTTTTTCTTCCTGGATTCAAAAGAAATTTGCCTCCACTTCACCAGCTCATGCCTTTGAGGATTAAGTTTCACAGAGAGCTAGGATTAGGCTTTGAACCAGGAATATAAGCTAGGAAAGGTTTGAAGTGTCTGCGGAACAGGAAGGAACGGCCGCATTTGAACTACAGGAGGTGTTTGGTGATTCTGCCAGTCCAAAAAGTAACCTCGCTTGAGGTTGCCTCCCCGTTAATTAACCTGTATCAAATCGCTTCCACTCCCCCATACCCAAACCAGTCACCAGCCTCTAATAATGGATGTTAAGCCAATGGGGAAAACCCACCTAATAATGTGTCTCGGACAGAATAATAATGGAGCCAGACAAAGAAGTCATACACACTGCAGTTGGCGATCTGTGGCTGGGTTCGGTTGGGTCCAAGCAGTCCCAGCCAGTGCTGTGTGGTGATGACATAGTCCGGGTGCACCGTCTTCTTCGCCAGGTCTAGGGCGGTCAGGAACTGCTCCCTCTCCTGGGCAGTCAGGGAATGGATATCCCGCCGTAGGACCCGTGGCTTCTTCTGATCACAGTTGGGGCCGGTCCAGCCAAACCTGCAGCCTCCGCAATCATAACCAGCAAAGTTTCCTGGTGCATAGCAAAGGGAGTGGGGAGTGGGGTTATACACTTGGAAAGAAAGCTCTCAATTGGGATTCCAGGTGGAAAGGAAGAGAACAGGTGTGACAAGGGGCAAGGAAGGGCCCTGACCACACAGACCGGAAGCACAGGACAGGGTAGGGGCCTTGGAGAACCCAGGCGCGAAGATGCTGCCTTCTTCTCAGGCTTGCAGCCTCTATTACTATGTGGCAATCCCTTTTAACTGTTAAAGCAAAAGAGGAGGAGGAGAAGTGGAGGATCTCGCCCCCAGGACCTCAGAACGTGCCTACTTTGGGAAATGACATTGTCAAGAGGGCAGTTAAGTCGAAATGAGTGCGGTGGAGCCGTCCCTCGCCCAGAGAGATCGCTGTCATTGCTCACACAGGGGGAGGACCACGTGGAGACACATGGAAGCCAAGGGGACAGATCTCAGAAGACAGCAGCCCGGCTCTCACCTTGCCCAAAGGCTCGGGCATCCAGAACTAGTAGAAAATAACTTCTGCTCCTTCTGCCCCACAGTTTGCCACGGCTTCTTGAAGCAGCCCCAGCAAAGGAACAATCGCTCCTCCCTCTTGTGTCTCGGAGCTCTCTCTTCAAACACCCTCTCCACCGCCAACCCAGCATGATCTTGCTAAGCTCCACACCACTGCGCCAGCACAGACTGACCCATTGACTTGATAATTTCAACACACGGGAAGCAGAGGCAGGCGGATCTCTGTGAGTTCGAGTCCAGCCTGTTCTACTAATGAGTTCCAGGACAAGACAGCCACTGTGACACTCAGAAATCCTGTCTCAATAATAATAATAATAATAATAATAATAATAATAACAACAACAACAACAACAACAACAACAACAACAACAATAGCAAAGAAGCAGACTTCCAGCACTCAGGTGGCATCTAACTCTAAAAAACACTGGTTTATTTCACAGAGGAGACAGCATTGAACAAAAATCAATGGTGCCTGGCAGATCATAAAAGTGAGTTAGAGACCGTGATGCCAAGAAGTGCATATCCTTTAGAATTTGCTGTCTGCAACAAAATGTCTCTGCTTTCCCACACCCAGGGGACAAGAACTAGTGAGGAAGGCCCAAGGCGTCCGTCCCTGAGGACTGGTGGCTAAGCCTAAGTTGTTTCCCTGCCTTTGCACCTGGTACCTGTGGGTTTCCTTTGGGCATACACAGCTATTATTCCCACAATAAGATAAAGGTGCTTATCTCCAGAACATTAAAGTGAACATTAATGCCGAAGGCCAGCTCCCTGTCAGCCTCTGCCTCCGCCTCATGCCCCCAAAATTATCACCTGTTCTTTCTTGTGCCTGGAACACTTTCCCTACCTGCCTTTTGACGTCATGATAGATCCTCTCTATACCACGCTCTGGCCTAACTGGTTGAGGAGGTGTGGAACCCAGAGCTTTGCACAGCTACTCATGTGCTCTGCCACTGAACTGCACCCCCAGCCTGGGCCCCTGCAAGACAGAAGGGCCTGAGCTGCGTTCCCTCAGCCACGTGGATTCCCATTTACTTATTTAGTTAGTTAGTTAGTTAATTAGTTAGTTAGTTAGTTAGTTATTTTTAATCATCAAGGAGATCTGGTTCAGTGGTGAAGCTCTTGGTTCCCACCCCCAGCATCATCAGGGCAAAAAGAGAAAGAAAATATGTGTCACCCACTGGGATAGCTTTTACAGGAATAGCCTTTTTTGTCCGAAGAATACTTACTAGTCATTTGAGCACTCAGTCAGACTTGCAGCTCTATTTAAAGTCCTCTCAGAAGTGATAGTGGTCTACGGATGACTTCAGTGGGAAAGAAACCAAGACCAGTGTGGTGCAGGGGCGCAGGATGCCAACAGCAGTGGACAGGGAGGAATGAGCAGGGGCAAAGGATATGTGTACCTTTTGCTGTCAGCGCGTGCCTGAGTGTGTGTGTGTGTGTGTGTGTGTGTGTGTGTTGCTGTTGCTGCTGCTGTTTGTTCACACATGTCTATGTGGGTTTGTGTACATATGTGCACATGCACATGCCAGAGGTCAACACCAAGTATCTTGTATTACTCTCACTTTACTTGTGAAACCACTCTCTCAACCAGCCTGGGGCTCACCAACTCAGCTGGTTGTCTGTCTAGCCAACAAGCTCTGGGAACTCGTCTGCCTCTGCCTCTGGCACTAGAATTACATGTGCACATGGGGGACCTGGAGGGTGGTTCAGAGGACCCAGGTTTAATTCCCAGCATACACATGGTAGCTCATAACTGTCAGTAACTCACTCCTGTTCAAGAGATCTGATGTCCTCTTCTGGCTTCCACAATCTTCCAGGCACCAGGCTTGCACATACCTGGTGCACATATATGCATGCAAGCAAACACCCATAGATGTGACTTAAAATAAATAAATAAATATTCTTATACATAATAAAGTTTTGGAAGGTTAGTTGGGTCATCTGAAGATGCTGTCTAGTTCATCATGCTTACTAGACCTTAATGAAAGACTTTCAGTCTCAAAGATCCAAGTGATAGCCACTAGGATCAGAATCTGAAAGTTTTAACACTTTTGGTTGATAGTTGGCATTATGTTACCTCCAATAAAACACTCTGTCTCTTAAACTAAATCAATAAGTCACAACAATATGTCAACCAAGTTCTATTTGTCCCACTAATGCTTTCCTACAAATATTAAAATTAAATCCTTAAAAAGATATATATATATATGTAAAGTTTTTAAGTACACATTGAGGCCCACTTTCTGCATGGTGCCTGGGGATCCCAACTCAGATCCTCCTGACGGTACAGCAAATGCTTTGCCAGCTGAACCATCTCCTTGATTCCTTCTATGCAGTTTTCCTGTGGACTAAAAAGCAGTTCTAAAAATATTTCTAAACAATAAGAAAAAAACATTCAAATTTTATAGCAGTGACTTTAATATATCCTTACATTAAAAGACATGAAAATACTTTTAACTTTTGAGGTCTGAACTTGAGTTATTCACAGCTTATGCTGTAATTTCTACACAACACTGCTTCATCACGATTCTTCTGGGGGTGGAAATGTATCATCATTTATGTAGTGAATAACTCATTGAACATCTACAAACTAATTACCACCAAGACAAGGGACCATGACACTGAGTGTGTCCTCTATGGCAGGGGACACATGGGAAACCTCTGTACTTTTTACTTACTTTTTACCTGAACTTAAAGTTGTTCTAAAACATAGTCTTTCCTGGGGAGAGCAGAAAGGGGCAGTTGGGGTCTCTGGAAGCTGGGGTACATGAGATTAACACACATTGTTCAATTGTATGATGTTGCTAAAGAAAAAATAAAAGATATTCTGCTTTTAAAAATAGTCTTAAAACAAGTTTCAATATGCCTTCCTCTGTTTCCACAGCTTTGTGTATTTTTAAACAAGTTGCCACTGTTGGTGCCTTTCAGCTGGACTCCTCTGAGCTTGCTGTATCAAAATAAGAGCTCTGCTCCATGGAACTCTTGCAAAAAAAAATAATAATAATAAGTAAGTGCATTGCTATAGACTCCAGAGGGTGTTGTCTGGGCCACAAGCCCCACCTGTTTTCTGTTGATAGTCTTAGAAAACCCCCCTTCCCAAATGGCAGAGCAATGACTTCTCTTCCCTTATCTCTACAGCACACCCCAGAACGTTGTGTCCATTGTCCCCTTTCTACACAAAATGGGATCATCAGGGTGCTAAATGATGTCATTTAAGTGAGTGATGGAGGAAACACTGAAAATTGGGAAAGTGGCATTTTTTAGGCACTGGGGACATAGCTGTAAATAAAACACTGTTGTAGATGAGATGGACCATGTGCACAATGAGACGTCCACACAACTGTAACAGCAGGAGAAGCAAAAGCAGAAAGAAGTAGGGTTGTGATCTGATAAGAGACAAAACAAGCACTCCTGATTTAGGTGAGGACAGCACTGTAATGAGCTGTGCAATGAGCACAGAACTGTAATAGAAGCAGTCACACTTGCACATGCACACATATGCACAAGCATGCACACATGCACACACACACACACACACACACACACACACACACACACACAAGTCAACCGCTCACCAGAAAGTGGTTGCTACTGGTCATATGTAATCCTGACATTTACTCAGTTAAAAAATTCTTTCTCTAAATCTATATCAGGTTCCTTCTATGTTTTAGCTTACAGACCTGGCCTATAGAACTTACAAAACACTACACACAACTAGAAAGTTGCACTGTGACAGCCTGGCACATATGCTGTGTAGTTCTTCTGATTTTCTGGTTGTATCTTGCACCAGCTTAATTTGAGTTCCCCTCTCCTTCATGCATCAGAAATACAAATGGGACACATTTGAAAAAAGAAAAAAGGTTATGCTTTGTTATTGTTGTTGGGAAAGATGGGGAGATGTTGTTGAAGGTGGGAAGACGATTCCGATCTATCTTGCATTGAGTGTGTTCTTGAGCAAAAATTAAATTTAAATTGTAAAAATCCTCTCCAGACTTAAGACTAGGACGAGGAGAGAGAAAACATCTACACACCACATGTCCCTACACGCACTGCACGGCCCAAACTCAAAACGCTATTAGCCTAACTAAGCTTAACGACCACCGATTAGAGAGTTTACAAGGAAGTCTAAATAGCCTATTCCTTTTAATTAGAGATTCTATTATTTTAATAACAATACTTTATACTCACGCCGATTCTTTCATCTGCAGAGCTCAAAAAGACTTTACAGTGTGGTTCCGTCATTATCCCCATTTCAGAGATTGGAAAATGAGGCACTTAGTCACTTGTACAAACAAGAAGTTCTCAGCCAACTGTTCAAAAAACTATTTGGTGCCCAAGGATTTCAAAAGCCCAAACATACAGCTGCAACCGGCATCTGCTCATAAATGCTAACTGTCGGGTGAGCCTCAAAATGTGGTGGCCAACACCAAAGTCTCCTGACTTCCACACTTCATTCAGCTATTATCTTTCTAATTTTCCCAATAGAGAATAGAGAAATGCTTGATAGAGAACTGGGGCACAGGATTTGTTTATTTTAGTTTAGTTTTCCATGTCTTCCTTTATGGGCTAAAGGTTCTCTTACCAGCCTGTAGTGGAAAACCTGGACTCATCATTTTCTCAACGACTCAGCAAATTCAAAGGTCACGAGCACTCTGCTGGCCAGATGCTAATTTCCATTTCTGCCTTAGAAACCTCAGGGTGGCCAGGAGGGTCCCAGGTTCTCCATTTGCAAGTGATTTTGAGGGCTCCCAGTGCCAGGGGCCTTTGGGATGCTCATCAGGCATAAATTCCACAGAGTGCATGAAAACACTTCCCAAAAGAAGGCAAATTACTCACTCTTTAAGGAGGAAAAATAGAAGATCTTGTGTCTGCCTTTGAAACCTTCGGCAGCTACACACACAAAGCAAAACATTCCATTGCAAGTCTCTAGAAAGACTCAGTCTTGTGTCTCAGGACTCAGGAAAACAGACTCCAGGCTACAAACTCGGAGGATGGTATAATGTCTGCTTAATGTGTGCAAGCTTTGGGTTCAATTTCCACGATTTCAAAAACAAACAAACAAACAAAAACAACTTTTTTTTAGTACGTTTAAAAAAAAAAAGAGGGAGAGGTGGTGGGACCAACATCTACCTCTTAAAACCTGTGGATGGGCCTGAAAGAGTCTATGCTCAGTAAGACAAATTCCCCCACTGTACAATACTGCCAGGCTCCTCCTAAGTGAGGCATCTAAAGTGGTCAGCTAACCAGAAAGGGCAGGAGCATGGTGGTTACCAGGGAGGGCGCCGAGGAGGAAACTCTCCTTTAAAGGAACACACAGTTAGAGGACACACCATGACTAAGTTTTGGATATCCACTCTATAGCACGGTTAAAGATGAGGTATTGTCCACAAAGAATGTGCTGCCAGGCGAAAGCTCGTGTTGGGGGTTCCTGCAAAACCACAGAGAAAGACAAGGGTGCTGCCAAGAGGAGCAGGAAAGGGGGGCTAGACATATATACAACTTTTTAAAGTGTGTGCATTGATTGTGTCAGAACTTGGTAGGGCAAGCGTGCTTTTTGAAAACCTTTATTTATGTATGCATTTGGGTGTTTCATCTGCCTGCACATCTGCACACCTGAAGAGGGCATCAGATCCCACGGAACTAGTTAGAGATGGCTGTGAGCCACCATGTGGGTGCTGGGATTTGAACTCGGGACCTCTGTTAGAACACCCAGTGCTCTTAACCACTGAGCCATTTCTTCTGCCCCCGGCAATTATACTTCTTAAAGCTGGATAAAAGGACTAATTTATCAAACTAAGTATTAGGAGCAGCAGATCTTAAGCAACCTTAGCTCCCTTGTGCGTGCTGCTCAGAGTGAGCAATGGTCCTGAGGGAGTCGGAGGCAAATGAATCGTAGAAAGGAGGCAAACCACAGGCAGAGGACGGCCCTCCAGGGTAGTCAAGGGTGATCCGTGGTGGGAGCTGCAGACCGAGCACCTGGAGGAAGCCCTGCTTCTAGGAATTGACCTCTGGAAATGTGATGGCTTTACATGTGACAGGCCCTACTCCTGACCCATTGCCTCGTGGGACAGTAGCTCCTGTTGTTTCATTCTGAACGTATATAACTCTGACCCAAGTTGCTATCCCTTCTTGATGAATATTCAAAATACTTTCTCAACAAAGAGACATCCCAAGTATGCCTTCTATTCTGCTGTGTCCCGTGGCTTTCACTTCCACTTTTTAAAAGTAAATGTGCTGTCACTATCCAAGTGGAAACTGTATCTGTGGGGTAAGATGAGCTAACTGTTTTATCTGATTTATTCTGACCCTCTAAAACAGAGATGCTCGACCTTTGAAAGACATAGCCTTTTGCCACCCATTGACATGGGAATAATTGCCATAGATGACTGTGTAGGTTTGGAGCAAAGGTTACCCATGTTAGTGTGGTTTCCAATAACCCCGGTGTGGAATTAATGCCCCCTATGGGGCTGAAAACCTATGATGTATCTGTTGAAGCAAATGTTTCAATGGCTCAAATATGGGAGATACACATCCAATATGCTATCATAACTTTTCTCACAACTGTTGTGTAGAGCAAAAGTAGAACCTGAAAATTCCAAGTAATTACAAGAACTGGGGACACGATTCAGTGTCAGAGCACTTTCCTGGCATACACAAGGCCCTAGGTTTCATCTCTCAGGACTTGTAACAAAATAGCAAATACATCGATACAAAATTATAAGACTTTTGGAGTTCTTGAAACTTCCCTTTGTAATGCTGTTTCAGACCCTGACACAGCTGACATGTCTGTGCTCTCCTACATTTCTGCAGCACATGAGAAGGCAGAAATAAGGCCCGAAGGGAAAGCTGCAGGCAACTTGCCACCAAGAGACAATGTCTGAGGGCCTTGGAGCTACTTTTCAATATTTCAGATGTACTTTTAATATTTCAGATGCCCTGGCAGTCTGTGTGTTCATAACAGTTGTACGTGGTTTCTGGAAAACAGAAGTGGGATAGGGGAAGATTTAAGAAGCCCAGAAAGGCAGAGAAAATGGAGATTTCAAAGACACAAGGTTAGGGAGAGACAGGGTTGTTCAGGAAGGACAGTGAGCAGGTCTGTGAGCTGCTCAGATGGAATTCAGAAGACGGTAGAAGGAAGCCACTGATCCCTCATAACACCTGCTTCGACCCATCTCCCCAACTTTGGCAGTTACAGTCCAGTCCTGGCTTGAACAAAGCAGATGGCCCCTGTTCATGGTCTACTCAAATCCTGAGAAAGCTGAGGCCAGGACTCAGCTGCACCTGCCTCCTGTCCTGCTACCCCATGCCAAGCCGCACCCAAGGCCTCAGCAAGTGTGAACCCATTGCAAGAGAGGCCCCGATCCATCTTGAAAGGACTTGTTCTAGTTTCAAAGCGGGCTCCCAATCTCTGTAGCCTCCCCTCTCAACAAACAAGCCAAAGGTATGTTGGCATGTGTTCAGAAACTCAGGCTCGGCCCACGTAATGACTTAGTTTTCGTAAGTACATGTACAGGGCGTGAAAGATATAAGCAGCCCATCTGCCTTACTGAACAGACTTGCCACCGAAACAGCTAGCCTAACAGTTTGTCACCAGTCTCATCTCTGACTCAGGAGGGATCGATATCCCAGCGCAGATTCTCCACCAAGGTCAAATTCAGACAGAAGCAGCATCTGCCCCAGGGCCTCACCTGTGCACTTGCATGTCCGGTTGAAGAATTTCCTTGGCCATTGCTCCCGGTCATCCTGGTTTCGAAGGACATAAGGGCCACTCCAGGGCCTGGTGTCTGTCTGCACCTCTGTGCACTGCCCGCGACCTTCTTGAGATCCACAGATGTTGGCGGGCTCAGGGCCCAGGGGCGGGCAGCACTCTTTGTTCAGCACACCTTCCAAGGTCATGCAGACCCTCGGAAACTGAGCCTGAACTCCAAGCAGAATTCCGCAGCCCAGGCAACCCAGCAGAAGCCCCCAATGCACGAGGCCCATGCCTTCTTAATTGGGGGACCTGGTCAGGGGTCCCTCCTGTTTTCTGTTCGGATTTCCGCCTTGTCTTCCACTCCTGAGCTCTGGGACATTCACTCACGCAAATCTCCTTTTCCTTTCTTTTGTTTTGTTGAGGGTTTTTTTTTTTTTTTGTGTGTGTGTGTGTGTATGTGTGTGTGTGTGTGTGTATGTGTGTGTGTGCTAGCCTTTTCCTCTCCCCTCTCGAAATTCCCACCTAAATCACAGAACCTGCACGTGTGCACATGCGTACATGCCCGTGAACATGCTATTTTCTGTGACTCAGACAGCTAACACAAATTTAATTTCAGCAGAAGCTCCTCCAACATCAAATGTAATGAGGGGAGTGCTCCTCGCCAGCCCCCCCCCCCGTTAAAGCGGGCTCCGTCTAATTGAGTTAATTTAAAGTGCTCCAGCCATACTGCTCATTATGCTGGGCTTCCAGGCCCCCTCCTTCTCTCCTTAGCCCTTGACTTTAATTGCCTTGAACTCGGTTCAAAAGCCAAGCGCCGAGCTGCCTTTATTCTCTCGGGCTTGCCAAGCCACGGGGCCTGGTGGGGTTCGGGGGAAAGGCTGGGAGAAGCCATCATTAGGGGGATTATAACTAGAGAAATCCTCTTTGTTAGCACATGACCCTAAGTGCACAATGAAGCTGATAGTGTCTGGCTTTGTGTCAGGAGGGCAAAACCAGTCTCTTTATTGGACTCATGTGTCCCAGCCAAGCTTGTGACCTCAGCCTTCCCAGTGCGTCAATAGCTGCAGTGAGCGTTCTGTCAAAGGACCTTTACAGACGACGGTGCATCGCTAAGCACCTCTCCCTCATGACTGCGTACTGACATGGGAGAAAGCCCGCCACAGGAGATCATGCAGCCCCTGAAATAAAGGAGCGTTTATTTAAGGCAGTGTACAAGGAAATGCTTTGTTGCACGATTAGGAATCCTCTGGCCTCCAGATAATAGCCTTCTCTTCTCCTGCTTAGCACACCCATACAACAGACTTGTTTTCACTCACGTGGAAGGATGTGCTGCCAATGGCTCACAACTGTCATCGCCTTCCTGTGTGGAAGGCAATGGGACAGGCTGGAGTGAGGTTTGCAAGGAAAGCTTTGATGGCATTAAAGTTTGCCATGACAGAGCCTTAACGCAGGAAGCAATGACCCTGTGTGCCTCTTCTGGGTGCAACACAGGAGTGTGCAGATGGGCAATGGTGGCCATTTGTCAGAGCTTGTGTTCCCTCATGGTGGAAACGGGACTGTCTTGGTGCTGTGAGGACTACACAAATTGCTTCCGCTGGAGTCTAAGAATGCCTTATACATGGACATAAAGTACCTAGTATTAAATTTCAAAGGAATTGTTAAGGTTGAGAAAAGTGTTCGGGGCCAGAGTGTAGTGACCCATGAGTTTAATTCCAGCATTCAGGAGGCAGAGACAGGTGGATCTGTGTGAGTTTAAGGCCAGCCTGGTCTACACAGTGAGTTTCAGGACAGCCAGGGCTTTGCAGATAGACACTGGCTGAAGAAGAAGGAGAAGGAGGAGGAGGGAGGGAGGGAGGGGAAGAAGAAGAGGAGGAGGGGGAGGGGGAGGGGGAAGAAGAAGACAGAGACGAGAGGAAGGAACAGTACACAGGTTTCCCTATGCATGTGTTCTGCTCTACCCTGTGATGTCAAACTGTGACTAACTCAACGGCAGTTTGTACCTCTGTGTCCTGGACATTGAGTCAGACTCTTGAGGATATCAGAGGGCATCAGCAGTTTCAGGATGTGTGTGCATGCAGGCATGCGCCCTTACAGTAGACATGCTTTGGAAGCCATGCATGTGTACATGATTGTATGAACAAGTGAGGCCAAAGATTAACATAAAATGTTTCTCCCAACCACTGTCCTCTTAGTTTTTTGAGAAACAGTCCTCACATAAGAGTAGCTGACCAGAAAGCCTCGGGGATCCGCCTCTTTGTGCCTCCCCGGCACTGGGGTTAGCGTGGGTGTGTGTGTGGGTGTTGTGGGGTGTGTGTGTGTGTGTGTGTGTGTGTGTGTGTGTGTGTGGATTGCAGGGGTGTGCCACCATTCCTGGGATCTAAACTCGGGCCAGCATGCTTACACAGCAGGCAGGTTACTGACTAAGCCGTCTTCCCAGACTCACATCAGCACTGTTTAAACTTTTTTCCTGATTCTACTACACGGTCAGAGCTGCAAGCCACGGTGTGAGAATGAAATGCAGCTCCGGATGAAGCTCGCGGTAGTGTTGGCTAAGAGACCAGGCTTATTCCTTTCCGATGCCATTGTAGGCAGTTTCCACAAGCTGGGAAGCTTGCACAAGAGATGTTTGTTCTCTCACAGTTCTGGGGACCCAAGGTCTGAAATCCAGGCGTTGACAAGGATAGCATGTGTCAGCAATCCACAATCCTATGATAATCCTGTCCCTTCCGGGTTCTGGTAGCTGCGGACAGGGCTTGGCGTCTGTCCCTGACCTGAGTGCACCACACTGCCACTCCTGCCCTATACCAAGCATGTCCCTTCTTCATTTCTCTTTCTGTCCTGAGGACACCAGTCATGGGATTATGAGCCAACTGGGATAGTCCAGGGCTCCCAGCTTCAGATAATTACATCCACAAAAGGGGTTTCTTTTTCCAATTGAGCCATATTTGCAGAAATACGTATCTTTTGGAGGGTGATAAGTCAACCCCCGGACACCATTGTCAGAAACAAAACAAAACAAAACAAAACAAAACAAAACAAACAAACAAAAAACTTAGCTATACTAGAATCATAAACTTAAGCGTCGGAAAGGCTTACAGGCTTTTTGAACCCCATCTGTCTGTCTACTGACTTCCACGTCACGCCACCATTGTGAAGCCCGGGATTTTAGTTTATGTGCTGTGCGGTGGTGATGCTCTGTGGATGTCAGAGGCAAATTTCTAGGAATCTGAAAGTGATGGACTTTCAACATTTCTCCTACCCGAATTGCCTGTTTCATCTGAAGCCTTACATGACGGTTGTCATGACAACCCAGAATCACTTCCCTGGCCCTGCTCTGAATTGTGAACCTCAGACCCATATCCAGTTTCCTCCCAGACCAGTCCTCTCAAAGATCTAGACCCCTTCAAAGCAAAACTTTTCTGTCTCATCACATGTGTCCTCTCTCCTCTAGTCCTGGGACCAGACCCTGCCACAGACCTTGAATCTTTGATTCCTCTTTCTTTCTTCCCCATCAATGCTTCCTGAAGGACTCAGCCTGAAATCAAACATCTCTCCGGGTGCTACTCACATAGAGTCAGCGGGTCACAACCCATGTGTACCTGGCCTGCATTAGGATGAATACAATAAGGACAGAAAGCGGGACCCAGTGTTTAGAGGCTTGGCATTGCTACACACTCAAGCTTGTGATCAGTCAGGTGGAACAGTGGAGGGTCGTTTGCACAGTCCATGTGCGTTTTGATCTCATGTTGACCTTAAAAGTGTTTTTCAGAACTTCCAAACCATAGACAGCTTGGGAAGAACTGGACTAGAAGATGCTGCTGGGCCTGTCCCTGCTGCCTCTCTCCCTCCGCTGAGGTAGAACAGTGCAGCATTCTTTCTCATTTTGGCCATTGTACTGCTGGTTTTTCTGCCCGAATTGCTCCCTGCTGGCTTCCTGTCACTGTAGTGCCAATGCCCGAGAGGAGCCGTCCTCTGTCACTTTAGCCCTTGTCAACCTGGACATCTTACTCTCACGGTGCATGGGTGCATGGTTTCATTTTCTTCCTAGAACTCATCTGCGCACCCATTATTATTCAAGGTTACAGAAGAGGACATGGGAGGCTGTGAGGCCGCAATTAACAAGGCAGCAGGAAAACCGTGTTTCCTGGATTCAAGATCCGGGTCCTCTTGATATGCCGAGTTACTGCATTTATACCTTCCCTGAGGAGTTTGTGGCATTATCTCAGAACAAGGAAAAGAAGGAAACATATTTGTTTTTAATATTCATATATATATACATATATATATATATATATATGTGTGTGTGTGTGTGTGTGTGTGTGTGTGTGTGTGTGTGTGAGCCTCTGTGAATGTTATGCAGGAGCCCATGGAGGCAGGGGAGGACATCAGACCCCCTAGGACTGGAGTTGCAGGTGGTTGGCAGTCACCCCGTTGATACTGGGACATGAATCCATGTAGCACACGATCTTAACCGTCTTCCCAACCTCATGAAGAACTTAGATTTCTTAATCTCCTACTCTCTGCCAGGTAGGGAACTAAGCTTGCTTCTTTACCTTCCCCTATTTCATTTAAACCACATAGCGGGACTTGGGGTGTAGTTCTGTTAGCAGAGAGCTTGCCTGGCATGTGAGAAGCCCTGGGTACAATGCCCAGCACCTCCTAACCCAGGTGTGGCGGTGCACACCACCCAGCACGTGGGGTGTGGAGGTAGCAGAACTCACAGTATCCTCAGCTGCAGAGGAAGTAAAATGCAAAGGAACTCGCCTTTGAAATGTGTTCCTAGTAGAAGTTAATGGTTTTGACATTGCTACCCCCATGGAGGCGGCTGATTGCAATTGAGAAGAAGAGGTCGTGCCAGCACACACCGTGGGTTTTGCTGAAGGAGGCAGCAGCAGGAGGAGCACGAGGTTGACAATAAGGAATCGGTCGCTCCGGCTTGGCATAAACTCAGTTACCCTAGTCATCACAATGTCAGCCTGCACTAAGTGTGTTACAATGCAGCAGCACGGATACACGTCTCATTGGAGGAGCTTCTCTGCCAGCCGAGTAAACAGAAAAGTTGTGCTTCCTCCTAGGTACCAGCTTGTCCTGAAGTTTCCAGCCTTGTGAATCTCTGTAGCTTTCTTTGCCTTGGCCTGGGACGATAGTTCCAAACCTTTAGACCTCACAATGCACAGCCGAGTCAGGCAGAATCTAGCCCATTACTCTGAGATTCTTCTTGTGGATGGGGGAGCAGTTTGAGACTCTTTGAGAAATGAGACAGAAAGATAAGCTGTACACACACACACAC